ATAAGTTTAGAAAATATTACAAACAATTTTTATGAATAAAATGTTTATCTTAAATACTTTGCTTTAACACTTGAGTATAAAATGTTTAAGGAAATGTATTGTATAACTTATAGATATTAAGTTTGATCATTTAATTTTGTACTTTATCTATTTTTCGTCAATATACAATACCACAGTCAATAATACAAAAAAATCATTAAAACATATGAAAATAAGATAAAAAAAAACTTTAAATTTAATACAAAATATAAATTAAAATTATAATGCCAAAATAATTTAATTTTTAAATTTAGTTTTAATAATGTAAGAAATGTTGCATAGATTAGATAAATGTTATAAATTTTATATCTTACAATAATATTTTTTTATATAACATATCTACAATAAAGAAACTGACAGTGAAAGTAATTAAAGTCACAATATAGTATGTTACTGAAATAATTTTAAATTTATTACAGGGTAACCACTTGAAGATGTATATAAAAATTGTGTAATTTTACTGGAAATTCTTTAAGCGTTGAATTAAAAATAAAATATAACGAGTGAAAATGTATTTAATATCAATATTTGTTCCTATATGGATAAGCATATGTTGATAAATGATTAACTATTATAAAATGATAGCAATTCAAATTCAGCTTTCATTTGTTGGTTCAGGATTAATGATTACTTGAATTACATAACTTGGAAGAATTCTAGCTTCATCTATATGTAATTTATCACCCAACAGCTTACCRCCAAAAAACCATCTCTGATGGAGAGGTTCAATGCCCTGTTTAGCCTGGAATACAAAAACGAATAAATAAGTTTTACATAAATATTTTTAAATTAAATTAATATATTGAATTTGAACAATTCAAGATATTTTTGCTTTTYGAAAAATCACATAACAACAAAAAATATATATTATATTTATATGCCAGTTAGTTTTTTTTATAAATATATAAATAATTACTGAAGAAGAAAGTTGGGTGCCAAYTYAAAAGCCTTAGACCAAAGTACTTATAGCTTACATATTTAATGTTGTACTCAGACTCTCATACATTCCAATATCATGGAAATTCTCTAAAATAATTCTTTCTATAAAGCCTAACAACCATTTGACACTCTAACCTTATTTAAACAAATGTCTATTGCCTTTCTTATAAAAAATTTTAGAAGGATTTATCTTGAATTATTTATTGCTGCCAATATCCACTAACAACATACTCTCAAATACWCAGTTTGAGTTTTGTAACTCACATAGCATGATCTATCAAAGGCATTGATGCTATTTCTCACTGTATAGTAAAAATCAAATGTGCCAAAATATATAACTCCGACGACTATCCAATACTTGCCCTATATCTCTAATCTATCTCTTCATAATGTCATCCATATGTGAACAGTTGAAATTGAAGTRAATAAATCTACACACCCATCAATAAATGATTACATACTCATCTTAACCACAAGATCATTTCATTCTTACAGTCCTGGARATCCTAACAGACTAAAAAAGAAGTGGTAACATGGCCTTTTACAAAACTTTAATATCTAACGCTTCTAAAACAAATATATATAAACTAATTACTAGCTAATGTCACTAATGGGTGGCTAATTCTAAAATATATTTTATGTTATACATTACTCTTTTCATGTGAACTTATTATGCTAATTTGTATAGATTGTTTATGATAGATAAAAATTCAAAAATCAAATTAATAACATACTAAATTWAAAAAATAACTTTAAAATACTAGAACTAACGTCTTTAAAAAAAATATATAAAAATAATTAGAATTACTTACTTGCAATTTCTTTTTAGCTTGTGCTATTGTGTCTCTTGTCATGAGTGGCATTTTTATATCTTGACAATTGGATGATAGACGAAGTTTTAACATAATTTCAGAACCTTCATCTGAGGATTCTATTCAATATAAAATTATACAAGCGTTAACTCAGTGTTATTAGTTATAAGTAGCTTATGTCAGTTTGAYTATAATAATTATGAATACATTTTTAATTTATATGTTATATTGTTATATTATTGTATACCTGTTTGATCAACTGGAGAATCTCTTCCGCTACCTTCTTTCACTATATTTATAGGATAAGAAAGACAGTATACTGGAACTTGGTATCTTGTTCCTAGTTCATCATAGCACTCAGTTAGAAATCCTTACAACAGATAAATTCCATATTAATAAATTATATTGTTATGTAAAAACATAGAATAAAGATTAAAATATCAAAATAAAACATACTAGGTGCCAATAGATAATATTTTTTCCTTTAAATTTAATAATAGGTTAAATAAATATCTCCATAAAATAACATTTATTATTAGTTATAATGATATATTTACTATAAATGGTAAACCTTTTGTCGACAGGTATTTTGTTTATACAAAATATACTTACCTTAACACACATCAAATGTAAATGTATTTGATATGTATAAAATATTATTGYTTTATATTATAATAATTTATAAGCTATTTTAACTATAAAAATTAAATGTATCAACACTATTATCCATTAGAGTATAGATAAAATTCTATTAATTGGCTGACACTAAATAATATCACTATRATCTATTTTTTCTATTTCATTTTATTCAGTTTCTAAAAATACTTACAAATAAATGTATTATTTGAATACATAAAACAAACTTAATAGTTTTTCGGTTTAAAGTAAATTTATTAATTAATTAAATTATTTATTTAATCATAAATTATATGATGATGAAGATTAACATATTTTACAAATTGGTCATTATCAAAGYCCAGAAAATATTTAGGTATTAAAWTTAAACATCCATCAAGGGATTACATCATTAAAACCAACAAGCTTCTACTCTTTGTTCCATGTTTMTTCTCTAATCCATTTCAGTAAAAACATATTGAATTATGCCATAAGTATTTTAAAAATCACTCAATAAAATTGAGCTTTTATAGGTATATTTTTATATTACAATCAATTCACTTAGACCCCCTTAGAACCTAAATTCCAATTCCTAGACATTTGCAAMAAGTTGTCTCAATTTGATTTTTTAATTTGACACTTAKAAGTCACTAATTAATTTTAAAATAATAATATAATACATTAGTAATTGGTAGGCTCAAGATTGGTTAAAAAGGATTTTTCAGGTTCCTATATTTAACTATGGTAATAACACATCACTGAATAAATATAAACATCATAAACCTATTTACCGTTAGGAACTGAAATGTTAGCGCCATCCAATATAGCTTGTGCCAATTGAAAATCAGTCGTTTCAGCAGCTGCAGTAGCTGCTCTTAATGCATCCCATATTTCTTTACGTCCTTCAAATGCTGGAGCTGTATCCCAAAATTCATCTCGTTTACTTCTCAACTGACCTTCAGTTAAGGGAACATCAGACTTCCAGCGTATAGTTTCATGGCATAATGGATGATTTTTTCTGTTTGTACCTACAAAAGTACAAAATAATTAAATATAATGAATTGAATGATAAAAGATGAATCATTCATAAGTTCAAAACTAATTGTGATTATTAATTAGAACAAAAACTGAATGAAGGAAAATCCAAATTATAAATAAATAATGCTCATAGTAATTTATTTTTAGTGCCTAAAATACATAATCAGTCTTTTACATTTAATTATACAATATATCACAAATAATTTTCTTAAGTATATRGGGTAGGGGTATGATGGTGGATAGTTATTGACCAGGGTACTATAATCTGTTCAGCAAGAGAGAGCACAAATTCTAAGCAAGAATTGCTACAAAAACCAGATTACCTATGGCAGTTTGTTAAGTAAAGCGTAAAGGTACACAAAAGATTTTATTTTGGTCAAGTCTCTGTGCGTTCGTTCGGTGAACAAAGTATAAATCATTAATTTACRGGTCAAGAGTCTAGACTGAAAAAATTCTTTAGATATGTATTATATAAGAAGAAATAAGGTACTACTCATGTAACTAGTATCCAAACTTATGAAAAGTTCCAAAAAATTGTAAGCCAAAACAGTGGTAATCACATKWYRAMTAAAATTTGGATTAAAATTAAAATAATTGTACTAGAACTTAAGAATACACCAYATTCAAAACAGAAAATAAAAAGATTTTAAAAATAATATACAGTGTCCCGTGAKGATATACCCATTAGYCTTGGAGAGGGATTCACTGACCAGATAAAAACTAGTTTTTGCCATTTTATCTATAGACTCAAAAAATTATAAAAATTATAAGATTAATGTAAATAAAATGTTGAAAGGTCAACATTTTCAGAAAAATAAACTCTATAAAATAGGTATCTTTATTTTTTTCAAAAATTAAATGTATATAACCCTTTTCTATGTGAGTTTAATAAAAAAAAACAGATTTATGATACATTTATTATTTCAGGAGATATCGCAGTGAGTAAATCCTTGCGGGACATCCTTCATATATAGTGCTTATTGAGTATAGGTGTTAAAACATGTATATTTAATATTGTTGTACTAAACTCACTTAAAAAAACTATATACATCAAATATATTTATAAAATATAATATGTTTATTAATATATACTATATTTAGAATAGTAAACACATATTAATATATAGTAATTACTATACTATATGTATGAATACCTAGTATTCGAACGAAATGTTACAAGACAACAATATAGGTACAGATAAATAATAATCTACCAGAACTCGGACGAGATCCATTGTCCGAGGATGCATTCCTTCCCCTGCGATTTCTTTGTAAACCTAAACAGCCTCCCATATTGTTCGAACAAGCCTTGGATTCATGGCAGCCTTACATTTAAATTGAGCTAGTTGGCGTTCTTAGGAATAAAATATTAATTTCCAACAGTAAAATCTGAGAAGAACGTTTGATGTTTGATGTTTAAGTAATATAAATCAGACGTAGAATATTAATTATGTAAAACATAGAAAACAATAAAATTTTGTAGAAAATGAAAAAAACAAATAATTATCAAGCATTCAAGCCCTGATAAAAAATGAATTGGGTCTATGCTTTCATCATGGAAATTATGTTCTTTATTTACTCCATGAATGAGTGATATATGATAATTTGAGGCACTTATCAGTTATCACTGATATTCCGTAGTGATCGGCGCCCGGTGGTACTAATGTGCATTATGAAACATAATAATAAATTACAAGTAAGATACAAAGATGTACCATGTAGTATTAGTATTAAATTAATGCATGCTTAAAAAAAAATTACATGGTAAATTGATGAATGTTAAAAAATAAAATCTCAGCTTCTAACATTAAAGATGGCTTACGTATTAAATGCAATTGTGGATGTTGTTAAAAATGGGAACGATATTGATTCTACTTGTGAAGTAGTTAGTAAAGGTAATACAAAATTAAATACAAGTTATACATAATATTATTTGAAATATACTTAACAATTTATGAATAAGACAGTAGACTTTATTCATTCTTTTTAAGAAAATGCCTATTATTTTAAACATATTATACCTAAATATAAAGTGTAAGTAATATAGCTAGCAATACGTCTATTGGTATAATTTCAATATTTAAATTATCTTTGTGATTAATTGACTAATTACCAATATTTGAATACATTGTATTATATTTAATGGATAATATCTAATAATTCACTTGATATAAAATTTTCAATTACTTATTCGTAGAAAAAAAAGATATTATATAATATATTAAGGTTTTTTTGTGTATCTATATTTTATTATTTAATATATAAAATTATTTTACAAAAATTTTATATTTAAATGAAAACCATTAGGTAACATTTTTTTAATAAGTATTTACCTTAGTATCTAGAATATAATTAAAAATATGAATTATTTTTAGAAATATCAGATAAAAGATTAACTTTTCTTCAATTTGTCGAGAGTATGGAAGAAATTTTGACTTCTACAGATAAAGATATTCGTCTTAATGGAGTTAAGGCATTTKTAGCTGTTGTAAAGAAATTACCTTTAGATTTTTTTACACCTGAAGAGTTGGAATATATTAGTCAATTTTTGTGTGAACGTTTCATTGACCATCATTCATTTGTACCAGTTGTTTTAATTGGAATTGAATATACTGTAAGACATTGATAAATTATATTTTTCTAAATATACCTACATTTTTAATTTGTTTAACATAATACAATTTTCATAATTTAGGTACAAATGAAAAATATCACTAAACAAATGATTGTAAGGTATTTTAATACAATCATGCCTCATTTCCACTGTCAATCACAACTTCAAAGTGACCGAAATACATTTTATTGTATATTACAATATATATTTTTGAATCGATTGGATGGTAATAATAAAATATCTACTAACTACTAAACCATTTTGGATTACTTAATTATTTATTATTTTATAACAATATTTATACTTTT